AACCATTTTATCAAACAAATAATAATTTTTTATAAATTGACTTGTTGTTTGCCTGTATCTTCCTATTGTTGTTTAGGTCTGTAAATGACCAGTCTCTCGTTGGAATATGTGCACCCTATACGGATTGCCTCTATATTGCCTTGAATCACAAGCTTTATAAACAAATGTGGATGGTGGCTAGCAGCGGAATCCAGGACGCGCATCTCGTCCTATTCGGAACTCGTCAGGTGGATCTACCTAATCTCAGAGCAAGTGGTACTGGATTCGAGTCCCGGAGTGGACATCAACCCTGAGATGCAGGTACATCCAGCTGACGAGTTCCAAATAGAACGAAACTCATGCCCATATTTGCTTATAATAATTTTTTATGTTTCATATAACCAACTGAGTTAAGTTTAATCAGTTTTGTTTTCTAAAAAAGATTTTCCAAAATTATAAACACTACATCATGGCAATATATTAATTATACATAATTATATTGTTCTTATTTTCCGGAAAATCTAGACATAAATCCACCAATCTTTAAATTATTTTTCATTTAACCATCAGAGATAAAGTTCATCATTAGTGATTAGCAGTTTAGGGGTTGTGGAGATTGTTAAGTTTTTGATTGAGATCATGAACCGATTGATACTAGGCCATCATTGAAAACCTGGAAGCACTGGACGGGCGTTTCGTCCTATCATGGGATTCCTCAGCAGTGCCCGTCCACGATCCCGCTGGCGGGATTCGAATCCAGGGCCTTCAGTCTCGCGCACGAACGCTTAATGTTTAGTTAGAATTCATTCCTTTTTCATCATAAAACTTGATTATAACAGGCTGATGATTAGGATCACAGATAAGAAATTGTAACGAAAATCCGTTACAGTCAAAGTAAGTATGATATTGATGTCAACTGTATTAAATCCACAATGATACTAGGTTGATGATTAAAAAAATACACAAGTGATTTTTATCAAGCATTAATATGAGCTAAAAATCTGATAAAAAATACCGGGAACCATTTGATATTTGTTTTGAACCAGTTTGGAGTTCTGTATTGATCTTCAATTATTATCACACAGATGGTTCTAATCCAAAACATATGGGAAGTTTTCAACAAATAGGATATTATTAAACCATTAAAATGTAGTCCAAACATCTAGTTTTCACATTCAATCAGTAGGCTATATATCTGTAGTACTTTTACTCCATTTCGAGATTTGTCAGTTTCATAAATTAAATATTGTCATAAAAATGTCACAAAATTTATTTCGTTCAAAACCCATTGATAATTATTACTCCAACATTGATCAGCTAGAGATGATTTACAAAGATCTGTTCACTATGAAACTGATTCTTATGGAGTAATACCAACTATAGAGTTATCATAAACTTCAATTTTGAAAATTTTCTCTTCTATCAAGTAGTTGACATCAATTGAGTGATTTTTTTTCGAAAAATTCTTAATCAAAACGAATAACTACCTACTACTCCACAGGTAAATAAGTCAATGCAGAAATTTCCATAAAAAGGAAAGAATTCAGTAATGACCCATTCTCCTCCCTCCTATTTATCAAGTACATTAGTCATAATGATTTTCTAATGTTTTCACCAGAACACTAAATTCACATTTTTTTTATTAAAATCATCATTCAATGTACCATAAAATACTGAAAATAACAATTTCCAACCTACAAGTAAAATTTATAGTGTATCCTATTAAATTATACTACCATATACAGTTGTAAAAGAATCAGTTAATTTAAAGTCAGAATGGAGATTTTTGAAAACTGTAGTATTTTAATAATTGAATTCATGAGTCGATCTAACCTAGACCACCACTGAAAACCTAGAAGCATTGGACAACCGTTTCTTCTTCATATGGGACTTCTCAGCAGTACGCATCCAGATTTTCAATAGTATTCTAACTCATGAAATCAACTATTAATATGTTGTAAATAGTAGATGATTCTTACTTACCTATATGTTTATGATGCCTTATTGCTGTAATCATACCAAGATGATGACGATTATGATGAGTTTTTTGTTTTTTTTCTTTATATAAATCAATTTTATCCATTGAAATTGAATTGTCATTTAAATATTTCACATAATCAGGATGTAATAAATGATTCGATTCATAACGTCCAAAACTATGCCAATCATTCATATGACGTTCATGTAATTTAAACATATAATTAGGTGTTTTAGCTATTAATTCTTCTTTAGATGGTTTTTGAATATCATTATTTTTGAAAGTTTCTTTATTCATACTACTTAAACTACTACTTATAGTTGTTATACTTGAAGTATAATCTATAGATGGATTATTTTTAATCATATTTATTTGTGATTTTAATAGTTTTTCTAATAAATAATTCCATGTTTTTTGTTCAGATTTTGTTAAAATATTTAAATTCATTTGTTTTCCAGTTGTTGTTAATGATTGTAATAGATTAATTAAATTATATTCATTTGATAATTTAGGTGAATGATGAATTTGTTCAATAGATTCAATAGTTTTTATAGTACATGTTAAAACAATTATAATAATCCATATTAAATAAGTAAGAACATTCAATCTAGATATATTTCTAACCTTCTTTGAACTTTTTCTAGATAATACATTTGGTAATGATAAAAATTTCACTGATTCACTTTCATTCGATTGAAATATTGATGATTTAATGAATGGTTCCCTTTCAACATAATCATCATCATCATCATCACCATTGTCACCATCATCAACATCATTGTCATCATTATGATCATTGACATTTGTATAAATTAAATGCTTAACTGATTGAGTATTATATGAAATACAATAAGTGATCAATAAAAATCGTATAATAAATTTTAAATAAATAATTAAAAAACTTAATTTATTAATTGAATTATTAAAAATAATGAATAAAATAGATTTGTTTAACTTCACATTAATACATTTACATATCCTGTTTAAAATGAATGTTTTTCTGATAGATAATATAAGATATGATCCAAATTGTTTAGTTGAATATTTTAATTGCCAACATTTTTCAAATACATAATCGAAAAATTCATGAAATTTGTATACAGTAATAATTTTTGTAATTGAAAAGTAATAATCTATTGATAGACGACTAAGGTTAGATGTTTTGAGAAATATAAGTGTTGACGGCGTCAAATTGTATAGATTTGTCCTTTCTGTTTCCATAGCATAAGGATGTATTCATAAGGTTACTACTGCTTTGAATGTTGACTAATGGCGCCGATAGATTGTCGCCAAGGTATTAAGTTTGGCGCCTTATGACCTACAGTCGACAGGTCTAGAGTAAGTGACTTTTCCCCCATTATCAAATAATTCTATTTATCATTCATTTGAAAGAGAGAAAGTTTTTATAAAAGGAGAGAGAAATTATGTACAATGAGAGAAACAACCAAGAAAAGTAAGAAAGATAGATAGAAGTACATATAATCCACAGCTTTAAAATAAGGGTGGATGAAAAAAAACCCTGGTATTTCAGTCTCGACATCACCTATCATATAGTGATACACGCGATCATCCACTCTAATCACTATCATGATTATATTGAATACGCAAATGTATAGTGTATACACACTTCATCTAGAACTATTTAGTTCACACCGTAAGAAAAATTTCATACAGTATCATAATATCATGTAAAGTTGAAAATCATTGGTTATTCAGTCATTAATAATATATGGGGTGGATACAGTTAAACATTTCTATTGGCTTAAAATTCTAGTCATATTGACAAATTAAAAATAACTAGAAGACTAGAATGAAGATTATTGAGATATTGTTTGCTTATGGCGACATTGATATTCTTTTAAACTGGGTATGTTGTAATCTTCAATCAGTTCATGGAATACTTAATATATAAATCTGAATAAATAAAAACAATAATAAGTTCACTTGTTGACAGTTGACTCTAGAAACTTCATTTATATAAAAATCTATATTTTTTTGGAAGTGAAAAGGATAAAATGTCAGTCATATATAGTATAGGGAAACATGCAACATGCAACGCACGTGCACTAGTTAGCATTTAGTGTAATGATCCAACTTATCATGTTGATTCCATTCTATTAGTACTCATATTTAGGAAGGTAAATTACTAGTTAGCACGTGACTGACTTATTTATATAGTACATCCATTTGACCTCTAGATATTTAATTGCGATATTAATTGGTGTATGTATTTTACTAAAGTAACTAAGATAATTCATTCACCTTGATTTTACATACATTTTAGTAGTGAGTTAATAAATATAAACCGATGATCTATAGTCGAATAATAGGATAGCAAATCTCGATAAACAAACAAATATAACTTAAACGTTGGACAGTAAACAGCGTTCGTCAATGTAGATTACTAGCCAGTTTCACTTGAATATATTTGAAATGCTTAAGCCGCCTAAAATTGGACAATTGACTTCACAGAATTAGCATACCATGAATGAGGTAGAAGCTTCCTACACTATTTTCAAAATGAATAGTTCTCATTTTTCTCACAAGTGATCGGTGTTATAACTATCCATTTGTCCTGTCAATGGAATTGTAGTTGAAAGTCAGTCGTCAAGCCTGTAGATTATAGTGAGAACGGTATTTAACCGCTGATTACTTCGTTGAGTTTCATATTTCATTTAGTAGTGACACTTGTATCAGCGGTCAGTAATAATTATCTAAAATTTGAACAGAAATTTCACAAAGTTATCTTAACAATAAAAATAAAATAGAAAGAAAATTGTAAAATCTCAGTTTTAGTTGTAGGGTTTGGCAAAGGAGTCCTTTCATAATAAAGGGTTAAATAATAGTTTGCTCAAGGTTTTGTGTGAGTGGTGATTTACATGTACCATGTTGGTGTTCGTGGGGTGGGGGCGGGTACGTTGTTGGGATTAGTGATTGGTAGGTGTGGGTGGGTATTAGAGTTTGTTGGCTCGACTGGGTGGTGCTTAGGGTGTTTAGTGGCGGGATTTTGAGTGGGGGGGCATGGGAGGGTGGGGTTGTAGGAATGGTTGATGATGATGATGATGATGATGATGATGATGATGATGATGATGATGATGATGATGATGATGATGATGATGATGATGATGATGATGATGATGATGATGATGATGATGATGATGATGATGATGATGATGATGATGATGATGATGATGATGATGATGATGATGATGATGATGATGATGATGATGATGATGATGATGATGATGATGATGATGATGATGATGATGATGATGATGATGATGATGATGATGATGATGATGATGATGATGATGATGATGATGATGATGATGATGATGATGATGATGATGATGATGATGATGATGATGATGATGATGATGATGATGATGATGATGATGATGATGATGATGATGATGATGATGATGATGATGATGATGATGATGATGATGATGATGATGATGATGATGATGATGATGATGATGATGATGATGCTGCTGCTGCAGCAGCAGCTGTCTCTCTTCTGCTGAAGCAGCTGCCGCATCATATCATCATATCATAAATCATCACATCATATCATATCATCATCATCATCATCATCATCAATCATCATCCTCCTCATCATCATCATCATCATCATCATCATCATCATCATCATCATTTCATCGTCATCTTCATCATCATCATCATCATCTTCATCATATCATCATCATCATCATCATCCAAATCATCATCATCATCATCAATCATCAACATCTTCATCATATCATCATCATCCAATCATCATCATCATCATCATCATTCCACATCATCATCATCATCATCATCATCCAAATCATCATCATCATTTCATCATCATCAGCTTCATCTTCATCAATCATCATCATCATCTGTCATCATCATCATCATCATCATCATCATCATCATCATCATCATCATCATCATCATCATCATCATCATCATCATCATCATCATCATTCATCTTCATCATCATCATCATCATCATCATCATCATCATCATCATCATCATCATCATCATCATCATCATCATCATCATCATCATCATCATCATCATCATCATCATCATCATCATCATCATCATCATCATCATCATCATCATCATCATCATCATCATCATCATCATCATCATCATCATCATCATCATCATCATCATCATCATCATCATCATCATCATCATCATCATCATCATCATCATCATCATCATCATCATCATCATCATCATCATCATCATCATCATCATCATCATCATCATCATCATCATCATCATCATCATCATCATCATCAAATCATCATCATCATCATCATCATCCAAATCATCATCATCATCATCATCATCCAATCATCATCATCATCATCATCATCATCATCATCATCATCATCATCATCATCATCATCATCATCATCATCATCATCATCATCATCATCATCATCATCATCATCATCATCATCATCATCATCATCATCATCATCATCATCATCATCATCATCATCATCATCATCATCATCATCATCATCATCATCATCATCATCATCATCATCATCATCATCATCATCATCATCATCATCATCATCATCATCATCATCATCATCATCATCATCATCATCATCATCATCATCATCATCATCATCATCATCATCATCATCATCATCATCATCATCATCATCATCATCATCATCATCATCATCATCATCATCATCATCATCATCATCATCATCATCATCATCATCATCATCATCATCATCATCATCATCATCATCATCATCATCATCATCATCATCATCATCATCATCATCATCATCATCATCATCATCATCATCATCATCATCATCATCATCATCATCATCATCATCATCATCATCATCATCATCATCATCATCATCATCATCATCATCATCATCATCATCATCATCATCATCATCATCATCATCATCATCATCATCATCATCATCATCATCATCATCATCATCATCATCATCATCATCATCATCATCATCATCATCATCATCATCATCATCATCATCATCATCATCATCATCATCATCATCATCATAAGAATAACAATAACAATAACAATAACAATAGTAATAGTAATAATAATGCAACCATTGCATTTGATTAACGGTTTCAGAAAGTTCTATATTACGTAACAGTGTATAATTTTATTCATATGGACCATTATTTACGAAGAAATTTTGCACTGACGATTTCTAATATTAATAAATGATCCACAAGTTTAAGAATACCTAAAATTAAGAATGAGTTATTATTGGAAATTCATCCAGAGATTCCTTTTTTATCATTTTCATGTAATTTTTCTAGAAAAACATGAAATAATTAAATTAGAATTTATACATCGAATGTGTTATGTAATGAAAAAGAATGTTAAGAGCAAAACATTTAGAGAGGTTTCTTGATGAAAATAGACGCAAGCCATTAATTGTTGAAAAAAAACTAATATTTTAAAGATGTTCAGGTTTGTCCTAATAAATTTTTGTTATAATCAAATACGTAGCATTGTGGTGTGTTCTACTGATGTCGACAAATATAAGTAGTATATACCAACGGTCGAAAGTGAAATACCTGGAGGCAGAAGGTTGAGAAAATCGAAGAGAAGAGAACAGACGATGACTGGTATGGAAACGAAGGAACAGTAAAGTCTAAGACAATCGATAGATATTTTGCAAATAAAGTACTTCTGTATAGATCTCAGATTTTACCAAGATATTCTGTAATGTTATGTTAAAATGCATTTCTTTGTCTTCATTGGTGTTCTCGTTCATTACAGTATTAATAAAGAAGTTAGTAGTGATCGTAACGTTACTATTATCATTACTTTTATTCACCATCTTATTGTATACACATTTTGGAAGACGTTACCTTAAATTAACCACTAACAGTTAAAAAAAAAGAAGAAATTATTACATAACTGAATGTTTACTATAAAGCATACAGTGGGTCGATTCAAAATCATTACAATTTTAAATAGTTCAAAATAATCTATGTGCATTTAACTATAAAAGAGATCATGATTTGTATTTAATGTTAATGACTAGTTTACTACTAGGGAAAACTTTTCAGTTTACACATAATGAACCTTTTATCTATACACATATAAACATACACCTACATGTCTGACTGTGTACCAAAGATTTATTTTACTGAAATTTAAATAAGAAAAAGAAAAACACCAAAGCAACTGAACTTCAATGAAAACTGAAGAAGAAAAAAACCCAAAATATTTTGTGTAAACTTAAATAGTATGACTGTTATCAGTCTCATTAGCATCATATTTATTAAAAAAGTGTCAGTTTAAGAAATAATTTTTAACAATTCAAGCATACATCTATTGTATATATTTGGAGGGGAGAAAAAAGAATAAGCAGTACCCACCATTTGCTTCTTTGTATTTAATTTTTTTTACAATACACAATATACACATTCACAGATATCATAGTGTCTAGGTAAATTTACCAAAGCTGAAAATGTCAGCAAATATATATATATATATATATTGGGGGGGGGTGAAAAAATGTTGTGCTTTCTTTTTGTTATGAAAATAATAGTTATTATTATTACGAAAATTGTTGTTGTTATGATTCAAAATACTGAATGGATTATTTTTGTACAAAAAATCAAACAGCAGTATGTAAACAATCTATCGCCAACATTTCGCCTATTTAAAGGTAATTTTTCTATATACATATATGAATAATGAAAACATAATTTATATCATGTTAAATAATCACACACTTACATACAAACATTTAAACATCGTTTTTATATTATTTCTTCTATAGTGAATATTGATAATGGCGCCAAAATACTTTGTGTAGACCACCTTACGTAAAATGTATGAATAGTGTCTATATGTATCTTAATGTAAGAAAATCTATGAGCTTTTGTAAATATGTATATGTATGTGAACAGTTACGTTGAGAAGAATTCATCTATCAAGATAAAAGAACGATAGTTGAACTGATTAACAATAGTGAAAAGATAAATGAGCTTTTTTCCCAGTTATTAACCAGTAATGTGTGGGCTATTTAAAATATAAGATACTGTCACATACACATATATTTTTTCCTTTGTGACAATTTTAATTTAAACTATCGACATTTGTTAGTGAAGTTTAGTGTGTCAAAACTAGTTGACTTAACTAGATGGAAAAAAGGGAAAATGTTTAATGTTCAATATTTTGATAACGATGTATATATGTATATAATTACCGATTATGTTTAGGTTACACAAGTTATTATTATTGTATAGAATCAAATAACCAGAATGTCAAGATTCATCTTGTATTGTTTTTATCAATAGAAAATAATAGAGATAATATAAAAGAATCGTAATATACTGATATATCAACTAACTATATAACAGATATTGACAATTAAACATATTGTTAAGTTGAATTAGTGGATCAAGAAATTCTCATATTTACCATACAGTGGTTATGTAACTTATTGGTTTCTAAGAGAAATTTAAGAAATTAAGTGATATTATTAGGTGTATAGTTCTAAAACAGTATTCACTTATTTAATCATCAATCCACTTTTGTTTAATTTTATAGAGTAATAAATATTATAGGGATCATGTTATTAGTATTAAAATTATTACTTTTTTCCATACTACAATAATTCGATGAGGTAAATTGTCAAATCTATTGTTTATTCATTTTAACACATAGACATTGGTACAAGGAAGCACCAAATACATATGCGCCACACAAATCTCATTCGATATGTGTGAGGGCTGTGATACTGCCCGGGTGCCCAGACCGAAGCAGGTGATTTTATTAGGGGGCCTGAAGGTCTGATCCACAAGGCAGTGGAGCATCGTAAGGAGATGCAGTCCCATAGTAGCCGGTGACCGACAATTGGTTCATACGCCATTTTTTCCTTCAGGATCCTGGAGCCCATGTGCACTATTGGTTTGGAATCCGGTTAAAGCGCCGGACATTCGCTCTTCATCCTCTCATTTTCGTAAACAACACCCCGCCGCGAGAAGGCAGTGAGTAGTATTTCCCTGACAGAGGCTATATACGCGTAGCCATATGAGAGCGTTTGGAGAGGGAGAGCGGACTCTCCCCACTCTCGGCCGTACCAGGGCATTTGGGGGCCAAATCTATTGAGTTTTACTTTTATTTCCTTCAATACATTTAATTATTTTCAGAAGGGGGTTTTGTGGAGACATTAGCAATTTTTTGTAGTTGAATTCGTGAGTCAATTAAATCTAGATCACCATGAAAAACCTGGAAGCATTGAACAGCCGTTCCGTTGTAGTATGGGTCTCCTCAACAGTGCACATCTACGATTCCAATCAATAGGTTTTGGACTGGAATCCCGTGGGGGTAATCATGGATGAACCCTGCTGAGGGGTCCCATACTAAGACGAAATGACTGCCCAGTGCTTCCAGGTATTTCATGGTGCTCCAGGTTTAAATGATACATGAATTAAATTATTTGTCTTTCGAAGTTATATAAACAGTCTATGATCACCAAAATTTCCCATAATGGTTGCCTTAAACTCAAAACATTAAAAGTTGTCATTATTTTTTCTTATACCATATATGGTAATAGATAACTTATGAAGTAATGGGATAATCTATTTTATAAAGTCTATTAATTTTCCATACATAATAACATTAGTATTCAACTAGTAGTTTCTCTATTACAAATCATAACAATAAACAAATGAATAATATCAATGAATTTCGCCATTAAATAAGTACCTTTATTAAAGTTAAATAGAATAGAATGTAACTATTTTGAAAGATAAATATTTTCTTCCTATTTAAAGCGAAAGGATAATTTACTAAAAAAATTCTATTCATTCTTTAGCCTTTTTTTGTGAACAACTACTCTGGGATGCAGGTATATCCAGCTGACGAGTCCCAAGTAGGACAAAACGAGCGTCCTGGATCCCACTGCTAGCCACTATCCATCTTTGCTTAAAAAGCTTGTGATTTAAGGTTATATCGAGGCCATCCGCACAGTATGCACATATTCCAACATGAGACTAATCAATTACAGTCCTAAATAACAATGGGAAGATACAAGTAAAACAACACCAAGTGAAATTTTTTTGCCTCATGAAAATATAATTCATAACTGATCATTATTTCACTGATTGAAATCATGAGTCGATTGAAGCTAGACCACCATGGAAAACCTGGAAGCACTGGACGGCCGTTTTGTCCTAGTATGGGACTCCTCAGCAGCGTGCATCCACGATCCCGCCCCCCACGAGATTCAAACCCAGGACCTATCAGTCTCGTGCCAGGCGCTTAACCAACTAGACCACTGAGCCGGAATCCAACAGTGTTAATGTCTAACTTCAACCAACCTCATGAAAATATAATCCATAACTGATCATCATTTGTATTTATAAAACACCCAGTTAAGAGTTATTTCTAATAATTGTCATTTAAAAAAGAGATACTGTTTCATTGATAAATAAGTTTGTTTTATCAAAAAAAAATTTCATTTTAATTGTTCAGGTAAAAATAAAAAGTCAATTTTGTCATCACTGAATCAAGTTTTTTTTTAAAATGTGAACAAAGGAAAATATTGCAGATATGCATGATCACTAGTTAATTTTCATGTTAGTAGTTAAGGGGAAAACTTTATTTGTATAAGCAATATTATATATTATATATAATACATGTCAAAATGACAATCAGTTATTAGCATAGAAACAAGTTAGGTACTTAATTCAATGACTCTTCCTAAGATATAATATCAGTTCGGAATAAAAGATATCAGCGGTTAAAATATAATTTGAAATAAGAAGAATTAAAATGTTTGGGTAATTCACTTTCAATGTTTTTTTTAGAGTTTTTTAGAGAATGTATGCTATTGATATTAATATTAAATATGTCTTCCGTAATAATAGGACTTTAGACGCAATGTAGTCAAAATTTTATGTGGACAAAACGATAAAGATGCATTTCCGTATGATAAGAGATAATTGCAGAATGTTGTATTGTGATGTGAATTCATTGGTTTCCACCTCTTAAAAAAATAAAGCTAATGATATTTGTAAATCAAAGG